GGGGGGCTGTGTGTGTCCGTCCCGCCGCGCACAAACAACCCCGGGCTATGGCAGCACCCACTGCCCTCCCCCAGGAACAGAGTGTACCCGGGGCTCCCTTCCTGCGTGTGCACATCTGCCTCCCAGCTGTGCCTTGCTCCGCCCCTAAAAGCTTTTCCATTAGTGCCAGAAAAGGCCCGTGCAAAGCCGCGTTCCCCGTCCCCCCCTCTATTTCGCTAGTCACTATAGGGCTGTTCAGCTGTGTTGAAAAAGGCTGCGGTCTGGGCATTTAGGAACTGCAGAGGTGTTGGTAGGCTATTACTGTGGGGCATATTACTCCGGTCTAAACAAGTGTCCTGCTGCTAAATGAGTGCCAGGGTGGATTTGGGTGGAAGGAAAGAACTTGGAGAAAATGAGAACTGAAGGGAGGATAGTGAGAATCGGAAAACCCCAAACACTGCATTCCTCCTGGATAGTCAGGGTGGGAAACAGTTTGCCAAGAGAAGAGCTGTAGCTGAAGCCTGTCTCAGGGAGACGAGATGTCAGTATTGACTGAGGCCGAAGTAGCCACTTGGTTTTTTTGAACTGTTTACTTATTTCTGAGCCCATCAAGATTTACGCACTCCACTGTCTCTCAGGATTCCTATCCTTGCATGTAAACACTTTCCCCCACTCATACACCCTCTCCTTTTCTTCATTTTGCTTGGTTTTGGGTTTTTTTTTTTTTTTTGGCAAATGAAGCAAAACAAGTGTTCTGCTGCAAAGACCCTTACTCAAAACAGCCCTGGAGCTTTGGGATCAGGAGAGTTACCTGACCTTTCAGGCAATATACTATTTGTATCTTTAGGGGTTTGGCTATTTTTGTGTCTCAGAGTGGGCACCTTTTTATTGTAGTCATGTCCTGCAGCTCCCCTTAGTTCAGTTTCTCTGGCTGACCCTACGTAAAGTCACCGTGCAGTGCAGGAGACCCTGATTTCCTGTCCCTAACCCCCCTTCTGTGCTTCCATTTCACATTCCACTGAGGACTCAAAATGGCTGCAGATAGAAAATCCACATGGAGCTATTGTCAGCTGTGGGGTGACATCCAAGTGGCGAGGGTTTTCAGGTGTGGATGCATACTGTGCATAGCATTTAAAAAAATAGGGGGATTTTCTTTCAGACAGGTGATAGATACCTACTTTCCACTGTCACAGCTTTTACTGTGCTACAGCTTCCATTTTAACTGTGTCCTGATAGAAGGAGCTTCCTTGAAAACCTTTCAGTGCTGTTGATAAAGGGTCCACAGGGCTGGGAAGGAGTCTGTGCTATGAGCGTCCATCCTTATGAACCTTTGTTTGGGCTCTGGCTGAGGAGGAACTTGCTGTACTTACACTAATCAGTGGCTGTGCTGCCTACAGTGTTGCTCTGACTTAGCCTGTCCATCATGCTAGAGGAGTTTGCTGCACGGCTGCAAAGAGGGGCTGGGTAAGAAGAATGTCCCCAGGTTGTTTTCGCACCAACTGGAGTCTCCTTCTGTCAAACTTTCCTGTGTCAGGAAGATTGAGGCAGAAGAGCATAAATAGGCTCCTGGGAGATTTGGGATGGAGATTCTTATTGTCTCGTTCATGTCTGTTCAGCATGATTGAAGCCGCAGCCTGCGCATCGATCTATACACTAAATGAAGTCATTGTGCATCCCCTGGACTCATGCCCTGAACCTGGGTTTCGTTCTGCTGGCTGAGTTGTCTGTGGTGGTGCCTTGCACTCTTAGTTAAATAGGTTCACGTCAAAGGAAAGTGGGAGGAGGAGTACATTTCTTGTCTGCCTGGGTAGGATTTCTGGCAAGAACTTGAGAGGGAACAAGTGTTTGTCAGTGTACTTCGAAGGCGGTTCAGTGATGCCAGTCTAGATCTGTCCCACTCGCAAGGCACGTGTTGTTTTGAAGTACTCGTCAATCCTTTGTATTTTGTATGTCTGTTTTTCCTCTCAACAGATGCTACAGCTGCCACAGCCCCAGTCCCCACAGCAGAAGTTGGTACTTCTCAGGAGGTCGACCAGGTGTTTGAACCGGCTGATACCTTGCCCTCCCGCAGCGAGGCAGCCGCTGTGCAGCCCATCGTTGGGATCAGTCAGAGAGTGCAGGTGAACTCCAAAGAAAAGAAGGACTTAGGGACACTAGGTACAAACCCAGGATCCTGTGATGGATCCATTCCTGTAATTCTGGCAGGATGGATGTGTTTTGAGGCTCTGAAAGCAATGCTATAGCTGGAACTGCTACCTCTAATTTTGCCTCTTTCTTTTTTCTCTTCGCAGGGTATGTGCTTGGGCTGATCATGATGGTGATAATCATTGCCATTGGAGCTGGCATTGTCCTGGGATACATCTATAAGAGGTCAGTGGCTATTCTCCTTTGTCCAAAAGCTGGTGTAGGCATGAAGCAACCTATATAGAGCGGGAATGTCTGAGCACCTGCAGACTGAACCAGACCCTAATGAAAAGGGCAGATAGAAGCATATGTTTTGATGTGGCACATTGTGCAAGAGTTTTGCTTGCCACACTGACAAAACAGCTATTTAAGAGTTAATCCCATTCTTCTCCATTTCACCCATCAATGTGGTATTTTGTCCCATTTAAAATTTCAAACTGCTCTCTTTATTTTTGGGGGTTTTTTGTGTGTACATGCACACGCTCTTTGATGTGGCTTTCTCAGATGCATTCAGGGGAGCTGAATTTTACGTAAGAGCTGGAGAGATCAGATCCCAGGTGCCCTCACAGGAAGTTTATTTTGTGATCAGAAAGAGAACAATCCTTCTAGCAGGCCACCTGTTCCCCTGGTTTCTCTAGTCTAGCTTTAGAAGAAAAACAATTGGCAAATTGTGTGCCACTCACGCATTGTATCCTATGAAGCTCAATATCAAGTAGCACTTTTTTTTGGTCAGAGTTCATTTTACCAAAGCTCCTGTATACTTTAAACTCAGTTTTGATTGACACTTAAGTTCTAATTTGTTCAGCCACTTCACTGTGTTAGGGCAGAAATGTTTCTGTGGCTCAGCAGTGCTTGAGGTTAGTGGTAATAGCAAGCCAGCTTAGCTGTAAGAGACAGGGCAGGATGAACAAATAGCGGTGACTGTTGCTGCAGCAAGCGAAGGCCCAGGCTCCCTCCTCTGGGAGGGTTTGTTCTGTATTTTGGCTATTTGACAGCAGTCTGACACAGCCAAGCAGAAGGAGCCCTTTCCCAAGCTGGGACATGTCCTTATGTAAGTGTTTATAATAAATGCCGACAGGGAAAAAAAGAAAACAGAGGGAGGAGTGTTACATAAGGGGCAAAACACAGAGCGCTGCTTGTCGAGGGATCTGGTTTGAGGTGTCACTTCAGAGAATGCTGTCTCGTGTGCTGGCAGGAACGGCAGCCACTGCTGCACGCTTGTAGGCAGCTTTGAAAAGCAGCCAAAATGCTTATGTGCTGACAGGAAACCCCAGCAGCTCTGCCTGGTTGGGATCACAAGCCCCAGGAGGAGTGAGTGGTGCCTGTCCCACCTTGCTCCTGTCTTGCAGGAAGAAGCAGTAGACCGATGTTGATCTTGGTCCAAATGCAGTTTTGTGTCTTCAGTCCCAGAGAGCTCACAGCAGAGGTGTAGTGCAGGTTTATTGTCTCGCTCTCTTCTTGCCTTGCTCTCAAAATTGTATGTACAAGCTGGCAGGTTTGGGTAGGTGTGGTAAGAAACCTTTAATCGGTTTAGTAGTTTTTCATATACATAGCTTTTCTGGAGACAACATGCTATTAATGCCAGCCATTTTTAAAGTTCTTCCTCAGTACAAATTACAGAGGTGTCGCCTCCCTTAGCAACAGGCTGAAGCGTGAGGTAGGTTTAAGGAGCTAGTTGTGGTATTAAGCTGTTAGCTGCAGCCACAGAAGGCTGGGCCAGCTCTGAAGTAAGCTTTAATACTTTCAGTAACAGCTTAATTTGCTGTACAGGTTTGTTTGCTGCAACAAAAGGCACAATCTGTCACCACCTCTGGTACTTGGGTCTATCAGATGAAGCAGGTTATGGAGGCTTGTTTGCACAGCAGTGGGCTCTGTGCTCTCACTGCTCCCCAGGACCTGCACCAGGCAATGCTGTGGGACTGTAAGATGTAAGGAAACACTTGTCAGCTCCGTGGTTTGAAGGGGTAGCCTGGCTTTACAGACATCATTCAGCTGTAGCAATGTTAGTGAAGAAGCCAGTTTATGAGGGAGGGACAAACTTCACTTGGCTGCTTGTTTTTTAAAGGTGCTCAGATGGGGTCCTCTGCTTACAGCATGGAATATTTTGGGCCCTTTGTATGTAGCTGCAACATCTGTTTCTTAAAGAGCAGGGTCCCTTCTTTTCTACTATATCACCTTTACTGAGACTCTGCCTCCAAGCAGTAGCAGGCACTCCATGCACATATATGTTTGTTTTGTTTGTTTTTTTTTTAATGTAGGGGGAAAGACTTGAAGGAAAAGCATGACCAGAAAGTTTACGAGCGTGAAATGCAGCGCATCACACTGCCACTCTCAGCGTTCACCAATCCTGCCTGTGAGCTTGTAGATGAAAACACAATTGTGGTGCACACTAACCAGACGCCTGTGGAGGACACGCGTGATAGCAGTGGCCCACTCATGGGGCAGGCGGGTACTCCTGGTGCCTGAGTAGCTCAGGCAGGAGCGAGACAGGCTGAGCAAAGCCTCCAGCTTCCCACTGTGAGTGCAGGGGTTGTGTGTGTTCATTTCTGTTTTGTTTTCTTTTTGATGAAAGCCAGATGAAGGTGATGCAGAGGGACAGAGCGGTGGGCTATTCATCATGATCTGTTTGAGTGGCACCATTCTGTGCATGACCAGCTGGGAACTGGTGTGGTAGACCCTGCTGCTTCCTCCCACCTATCTCCATGGCACGCTAAGGAGCTGGGGGGGATGATGAGCCAGGCTCACAACTGGCCACAGATCCCATAGCCTGGAGTGTGGTCTTGGCTTCCTCTTTTTCTGTTCCTTTCCTATTTAACGGTGTGCACTGTTACTTAAGTTTCAGCCTGGAACCCCAGGAGGGAGCAGTACTGCAAGGACTGAGGGGAGCTTCACGTCAGATTTAGCTAGATAATTACACTCTGATTATAGTTCCTGCCTTTCTGCTTTAGTGGCTGAGAGCTGGAGACACTGTCCAGAATCCTGCTACTGGATCAGGTTTTTTGCCAAGGAAGAGTTTATTTGAGGGATGGCCATGGCCAGGAGCGGTGTGTTTAGCCCCAGTGTCAATTTGGAAAAGCTCTTCTCAAGCTCTTGACAAATGCAGGTCTTCCAGGGCTGAGGCCACATCTCCATTCCCCAGTGGTGCTACACGCACAGCCACAGTTGTAGGTGTCCATGTGGTCCCTGCCTCCTGCTCACTTACACAGATCAGGAGACCAAAGACCAGCAGTAGATAGTTGTGGAGCGAAGACAACAAACTGCCCTTCAGTTACCTACAGCAGGTTGAGCACTGAGGATAGATAAACATCCTCTTCCGAATTCCCTTGGCTTTCTACAGAGCCAGCTCTGGACAGAGTGGCCAAGCCAGCTGTGGAGGTCACCCTGGCCGTGATGCAGCAGCTCTTGCTCTACGGGCAGCACAGGGCAGCTGCTCTCGCAAGATCCCAAAGTTAGAGCATGGCTCCTGGCCCAGCCTTCTTCACGCACACTCAGCTTGTGCAGCAAGACTACTTGCTTACAGAGCCTGGCCCTATTAGAGAGGTTTTGTAACAACTTTTATTAGCATTTCAGGGGTTTTGGAAGGGATGGTTGCTGCAGTGTCTCCTAAATGGCACCGAGGCAAGGCCAGTTCAGGGAAACATCCATCCCCACCTCAGGGGATTCAAGCCATTCAAGTAAGTTTTCTAGCCATTTGCTTTATAGCTGTGGGCCTAATGGGGAGCAGCACTTGACAGCAGGGGTTTTAGTGTTAATGTTTGATTCAGAAAAGGGAAACATTTTATTTTTAAATGCCTTTGAATACCATTTCTTTGTAAAATGTTTTAAATACCTCATTATGAGAAGGTGCAGATTGTGCTACCTTGTATTAAAGCTTAAAAGAAAAATGCTCTGTAGATCTGTGTGGACTGTGGCTCATCTGTACCCTCCTCCTGCCAGAGCAGCATCCTTTTGCTTGTTGCAGACTTCGAATTGAGGAGAAGGGAAGATGCTACATCAGTTTGCCAAAGGTAAATCCCTACAAGCGGTGCCTCCACTCACCAGCGCTGACAAGGGGCATGGAGCTTGTCTCCTTGCTGCCAGCAGCTAGCCTTGGACTGGGACACTGTTCCTGAAAAGCAGCTGTGGGTGTATGAGCTGTACTGACTAAGCAGGCTGGCCCGTGGGAAGACGCTCTCAGTTACAGCCCCTTCCTGCACTGACGCAGGTTGGTTATGCTTTGATGCTGCTCAGCAGCAGCTCCGTCCCTCAGGGCCTTGCATTGGAAAGCGTGATGGAGACAGAGCACAGCAGGTTACAGGAGGTACTGACACAGCTAGCATTTTCGTTTGGTTGTTGCTTTAACGAATGCCTCTTGAACTACATATTTCAGAATAAGAGTTTTCCAAGAACAGGCGGTATTTTTATCCTGGTTCAGAAAAGGAAAAGGGAGAGAGGCTCCATGTTCTGCTGACTCCCGTTCATCCTTTAAAAAAACCCCACAACAAATACAAAAAAACAACCAACCAACAAAACTTGACCCCTTCTTCCCTTTCCATCACTCCTGGTAAATATTACTAAAGAGCACCTGCACTGTGTCTCTGTAGTTCTGTAAATGTGTCAGAGCCCTTTGGCTCAAGAAAGGGAATTCTGGATGATACATGATCTGTGCAGTTTTGACGTTGCAGTTTTGTGACAATAGAAACCTGAGAAAAGTTACAGCTTCGTGCTTTAGGTAACACAGAGGCAACAAAATTTTGTTTTCATAGCATACATTTACTGCTTTTTAATTTAGTTAGAACATGGAGCTGTGCAAATCACAGTTCATAAACCCCACCCGCACGTCACCCAGGACTCTCCCCTTCAGGGGTCCCCTCCAAAACCAGCCTGGGAGGGGGAAAGAAAGGGCAAATCCTATTAACAATCCTGAATCCACTGGACCCAGTTTAGAGAGGCTCCTCCACTGACTCACAGCACAGGGAGTCCCCAGTGTTTCGAGAACACCACTACATGGACTAAAAACCTCCCCACCATGCACACCTTTTGTGAGGTGATGGCTGGTCCCATGTTATTTTATGTAATACTTTAAACTCATGGGTAGGGGGAGGAAATCAAAGTAACAGCAAAGACTAACACCAATTCCTCACCATTCAATAGGGAAGGCGGGGGGGAGGCGGGGAGAAAGGAGCACACTGAAAATCCAGTTAAACCAAGATGTTTGTGAAACTTAAAAGCAGGACTTGAGCCAACTTTTTGTTCAGTTCTGCCAACCACGTGACCTACTACAGCAGTAGCTTTCCTTCGTTCTCCCACCAAGGGAGAAAGAAGTAGTGCTGGAAGAAAATACACTTTCACCAACCTCCCAGTGACTCCAAGCCCTTTTTTCTCCCCCAAAGCAGGGAATGACCCTGAGGAAAGTTTCTGCTTGGAGAATCAGTTCAGGTGCTGCAGCAGCAGCTGCAAGAAGGACCTTCAAGGGGAGCAACGTGCACAGCCTGCAACAAAGGATGAGGTAATGGCAACTGAATTATTAGTTCTCCAGCTGCCACTCCTGGGAGGATGGGACATCCTCCAGCACTTTTCTGTTCATGACAAGTCCATCCTTTAAGTAACCTTGGGCATATCCTCCTTTGCCATTGTCCATGCACAAAGTCTGAGCCACTTCAGACCTTTGGCTTTCTGAAAAGCACCTTCTGCCACCCTTTGTGTCACCTCACATCCACAGGCCGAGAGCTCAAGCAGCTTCAGCACACCAGGGATGTCCACAGGCAGTGCCTAGTGCAGTGCTACACATTCAGGTTCAAATACTTTCACCTAAGTTAAGGTTCTTGGGCAGGCAAACTCACTGTGCAGGCTCAGGGTTTGGAGATGTTCAAGTGGCTCATTTGTTGCCTGCCTTGTTTACCATCAGGAGGGGCAAGGAGAGTGCAGTCTTAGTGTTTCTAGGCAGGCTTTTGGAGGTATTCAGAGACAGAGGAGGAAAAAAACCCACAAAACCAAAACAAAAATTCATACACGCTTTCCACAGGTAAGGTAATTCAGGAGAGCTGCCCAATTCCTGGGGCTTTTCACTCCCTCCCCTGATGCAAACTGGAGGCCAAAATCTCAGTGGGTTGCTCTGGAAAACACATGCACAAACATACACACACATGCTGTCCTGGTGAGGCCTTGTGCCAGATGTCCAGTTTCCCCAGCTTTCTGAGCAGGGCAGTCAGTGGGAGAAGCAGTTCCAGAACTACTGATCCTTGCCCAGGAGAGTCTCCTATAGCAATTCCCTCCCTGGCAGACAGGCCAGGGTGGCTTCACAGCTTGCAGCCAAGTTCTAAGGCACCACAGTAAAGAAGCCTGAAAAGGCTAGAGAAAGATTTCTCAAGCCAGAAAAATAGTGTTGAGCAGCTTTCCTAGGTGCAGTTGGCAGGAAACAGTCCTTTTTGCTTCTGAAACGTGCCAGAAATCCACAGTGAATCAGGATGTCCAAGAGGAGGGGTGTTGGGTGGGGAGAGAGAGGCAGTGCAGCAAACGCACAGCGTGGTGCCCCATTAATGCCCTGGAAGTGGCTGAAGTGCATCTCCCTCCCTGTCACTCATCTCAACTCCAATGGAAGTGGTGCAGGCAGCAGGACGAGCTGACTAGGTTGTGTTTTCAGGTAGCTTGTCACGGTTCAGTCCAAACTGCACGCTCACGTTGTGGTCCAGCTCCTCCAGCTCAGACGGGAGGGGGATGGCAAGTTCTCCCAGGTAGAGAGAGAGAGCTTCAAAGGAATCTTCCAGCTTGGAGAAAGGGGGCCTAGAAGCACCAGTGAGGAAATGTGAGTGAGAAAGAGGAAGCAGAACAGCATCTGGAAAGGCTGGGCCAGCCCATTCAGGCTACTGTCCCATGCAGGGTGGTGTGAGCAGGGACACGATCCCTCCCTGTTCAGCTTCTGAGACTGCAAAGATCCCATCTGTCTGGGATACCCATTTTTACAGCCGACGACCAGCGAGGTCCAGCTCTTTTGGAACCTACTTGGCATCAACACTGTTCTGAAGCTACAAGTTTCACAACTGAAATCAAATTAAGTAGCCACATTTCAGAGCTGCTGCCAAGGTCTGCCCCTACTTTTTGTACGTGAGAAACCCTGAATAATCACTCCTCCTTTACCCTCTCTGTCTTGGAAATTGTTTCAAAAGACCTCTACCACCACATACAGCAGTTTCTCTCCCAAACTGTTGAGTCGTAGTCTCTCCTCATGTGGAAGCCTTTGAGCATTCCCACAGAAGGCTGGAATACAGCCCTCTACCACCCTCTGTGCAGAGAAATCCTTCCACCAAGGGGATACAGCCACACCCTCCAGGCTTACCAAGAGGAGTCCCCCAGCCCCCAAACCTACCTGCTCTCTGGTTCCAGTCTGCAGCAAATGGCAGCCAGAGGGAAAAAGGCAGGAGGACA